AACCTCCCCTGACACAGCCTGAGGCCCTTTCCTCTTGTCCTGTTGTTTGTTCCTTGGGAGCAGAGCCCGACCCCCCCCTGGCTCCAGGCTCCTGTCAGGAGCTGTGCAGAGCCAGAAGGTCTCCCCTGAGCCTCCTTTGCTCCAGGCTCAGCACCCCCAGCTCCCTCAGCTGCTCCTCTTAAGACCTGTGCTCTAGTAGAAGCAGAACCTAGATAAGACCTAATTCAGATAATTATAGAATCATTAAGGTTTGAAAAGACCTCTAAGATCATCAAGTTCAGCCATCAACCCAACAATACCATGACCTGTAAACCGTGTCCCCAAGTACCCTGCCTCACTCCAGGCTCCTGTCAGGAGCTGTGCAGAGCCAGAAGGTCTCCCCTGAGCCTCCTTTGCTCCAGGCTCAGCACCCCCAGGTCCCTCAGCTGCTCCTCACAAGCCATGTTCCCCAGACCCTCCCCAGCTTCATTCATGTGAGGAGCTGGAGTGTTAAGAAATGACATTTTTCCAGCAGTGGAGCGTGGGCTGAATCTGACTTCTTAGGGCTGAGTTAATAAAAACACACTTAAACTATAAACCCCCTTGCCCACTTGATAGGAAACTCTCAAGGCTTTAGCAGATGCTGAGGTTTTAACGTGCCTGGGGTGAGTGGTGTTACCAGCAGGGTGAGAACTGGGAGCTGCAGCAGGGCTGGAGCCCAGCACTGCCTGTCCAGTGCCCTGTGCTCCTTAGGTGACCTTCATCTCTCTTTGCCTGTAACTGATGTTGAGAGGCTGCTTCTAAAACCTTTGGTGTAATAAACACCCTGTAAATCCCATCAATAAGGTGTGTAGCTGCCCCAGGTGCTCCAGCTGCTGTGGAACTCTTGGTGGGGGGGTTTTATTTCATGGTTTGGGTGGTTTTTCTGCCTGCAGAGCTGGGAGGACTGCTGAAGTACGTGCGGCCCTTCCTGAACTCCATCAGCAAGGCCAAGGCAGCTCGGCTGGTCCGCTCCCTGCTCGACCTCTTCCTGGACATGGAGGCAGCCACAGGACAGGAGGTGAGGCTGACCCCAGGGCAGGGCTCTGTTCCTCAGAGGCCTCTGGTACCACCCTCTGACCCAGCTTGCTTCAAGCTGAAGAATTATTCATGTCAGGAAACGTTCGTTTAATGCGTTTAGGTGTATTAATAAAACCTGGGGTGATTTAGTTCTCTTCCAGCTGATTCCTGCAGGTCTCACCTGCTGTGGGTTGGGAGTAGCTCCCACCCGGGACCTTTCTCGTGGGTTTGTGTTTCTGGCTGTTTAGAGGCACAGAGTGAGTAGCAGCAGTCAGGTTTTGGGGACATGAGAGGTGAGAGGTGCTGCACCCCTGCCAGGGAGCCAGCCCTGGGGAGAGGTGGTGGCAGAGAGCTGGAGGAGGTGTGCTGGGCTCTGTCAGGAGCTGGGGGTTAGAGGGTGATTTAGCATCTTCCACTTGGAGACAGGAGGGTGCCTTGCATGGGGGCATGGTGTGGTGGCTGTCTGAGTCTGCAGAGGGCTTCTGAGGCACAAAACTTACTCCTGAAGTGGGAATGGAAAGAGTTTTGCAGCTACCAAGTGTAAACTGTGAACTTCTCCACTGGAAAACCCATTTGGTCTGAGACAGCCCACAGTCAGGATTTACTCCATTCTCATTTGCTCCCTGGAATACTGTTGTTTTTCTTATTTATTTATTTTTTTTCTATCCACCTTGTTTGGTTATTTGGGAATGGGAGAAGGATGGGAGCAGCTTGGGAAGGATGAGGAGCCCCTTCCCAGTGGTGCCCAGCTGCAGTAGTGCAGGTTGTGCTGGCACACTGGAGCTGTCAGATGGACAGGGGAGCCAGGGAGGGTCTCACCAAGAGCTGAAGGACAAAGCCCACACAACAGTGACTGGCAGATGACAGTCCTGGAGAGGTTCTGCCTCATTGAGAGGCAAGTGGCATGCTCATTAGCCAAATGAGCACAGATTGTCATCCTCTAGTTCAGGTAACCTGGCAAATGTTCTCCCTTTGTTCAGTTCTTGTTTCTGGAAATGGCAGCAGAATCTTTTGCCCCTTTTCTGGGACAGAAGAGGTTAAGGGGAGCAGGGGGAGGTGTGGGGGTGAGCAGGGACCCCCTGAAGGAGTCAGGAGAAAATGGGTGATGTCAGACTTCTAAAGGTAACGTGGTGTGAGTGACAATATTTGGATGCAGTCCCAGAAGGTGACAGTTTATGGCTGGGGAGGAACTTGGGGTAACAGTGGTGGAAATGTGCCTCAGTTAGTAAAAATACTCAATTTCAACCATCTTCAAAACCAAACTCAAAACCTTAAAAGAATTAGGACACTTACTCTGTGAGGTTCTTGATGCAGTAGTGCTGGATATGTCAGAAATGTTCAGAGGGACATTTGCCTCCTCTCTGTAACACGTGTTGAGAGGACTCCCAAGAGTCCAATCAAGCACTGAAGTCAGAGATTTCTCCAGCTCCTAATGCTAATCACTGCACAATAAATTGCAACTTCATAATGGCTTTTCAGAAGTTGTCCCCATTTAATTAGCAGTGAGGAGGAGCTGACAAGTCCTGCAGTGTAGGACAGCTGCAGAGCTGCTCCAGAAAGAGACACGACCCAGGGATTTTGGGAAGAGGCATGCCTGAGCCTAGCACCTCAGGATGACTTAATCTGCATCACTGGCCAGTACTAAATGGACACCCTCTGCTAATTGGGGTGGGACACAACTGCTTTATTCTTGAAGGGAATCTCAGCAGTCTTAAAGACATGAGAAGCCACAGGGTTCCTTTGCTGTGCTTTGAAGCAAGAGATAAAACATCCAGTGTCCCTGACCAGCTCCTGGCACCCCACGTGGTTGGAAATGCTGGAGCCTGTCACTTCTGTCACTTCCCACTGCTAAAGGACACACGTGGTCTGACATAATCAGGCCCCAGAACACATGCACTTTGTTTCCTTTGCATTGTAGAACAACTGAAAATACTTTTTTTTTTTTCTCAAAGGCTGAATTAAATGGTGCAAAACACGCTGGAAGGGACCTCAAAGTCCTTTAGTCCATCCCTTGCCCTAAGGCAGAATCATGTCCCCAGATGGTTTTATTGCAAACACAAACACAGCTCTTTAAGAAATGCTCTGAGGATGTCAACAGTATTTTTACTGGTCAGTCTTTGGAAGCTGAATCTTTATTTTCATATTCCAGCGTGGGAGGATTTTCCTTGGTGGTCAGAAAAAGTTACCAGAAGGCAAATGTGTTAGCAAAGCAGTTGAGATGGTGGTCTCCTGGAGGTTTTGTGGTGGCTGAAGGCTAAACTAAGCCTTGGTTTGAGCTTTCCTTTCTCTTGCAGTACATATTGTGAGTAGTGTAATACTGTGAAGGTCGTCACAAAGTGTAGGAATTTCACCTAGCCAGTGGAGTGTGAGAAGAGAGCACAGACCACAGCTCTTCTCTAGCATTCTGCCCAACCTTTCTGTGAGTTCACACTCCTGGGTCAACATGCTGCTGCCTGAAGTGCCTCGTGTGGGGTGACCAGTGAGTCCTCACTGCAGAGAGGTCCCTGGACCTTGGGCTGTGGAGCTGCAGCTGTGTCAGCAGGGAGCTCTGCTTTACCCTGGGTGTGTTCAGGGTGTGCTCAGAGGGGTTGGGATGGGCAGTGGGGGTGGCTGAGCTCCAGGCTCATTTGGAGTAAAGCTGTTGGGACAGGAACGACGTGTTTCCTTAAGCCCCACTGTGGAGATTGAGGCTTTGTTGTGCTCTAGGCAGTGGCTGGAGCATGCTGGTGTTTTAACGTGGCTCTTTCTGCTCCCTTTAAGGTTGACCTGTGTTTAGAGTGTATTGAATGGGCCAAATCTGAGAAGAGGACTTTCCTACGCCAGGCTCTGGAGGTATGTCACACTGCAGACCCCTGGGACAGCCTCTTCCCTTGGTCAGATTTCAGATCTGGAGCAGTGGAGGACGTGTGGGGTGTCGTGCAGGTCTTTGTGTGTGCTGTGGGTGGGCAGTAGAGGTGACACTGAACCTGGTGCTTGCTCAGCAGCAGGATTTTACCCCTTGTGTTTAGAGCAGCCCACCTCCCAGGGGTAGATCTTGCAGGCTGTGTAATGTAAGGACGACAAACTAATGTGGTGAAGTCTGTGCAGATAGCACAAAGCTCCACTGGTGAAATGAAGCTGTACTGGCTCTCTGGCTTCCCTCACAGCAGTCCCTTCTCTGTCCCCCAGGCGAGGCTGGTCTCCTTGTACTTCGATACCAAGAGGTACCAAGAAGCTCTGCAGCTGGGTGAGTCTCCCACTAGGTGGTGGTAGCTCTGTGCTTTCAGATTACTCCTGAGGCTACCAGGGAAACGATCAGCTACCTCCTGTTCCTTGATGAGTTTTGGAGCACTTGGGTGTTAATTTCTCAGTGCTGTACCCGTTCTGCCATCCTTTGCTAGAGCTTGGGGGTAAAAGCTTGAAGAGATCTCCTTTTTCTCATTTCAAGTCGTTTTGGAAGCAAAGAGGAGCTGCATCCAGTTGAAGGCATCAGGTTTGGCTGCTGCTGGAACACACGTGGCAGGCTGCTGTGGTCAGAGAGATCAGAGGGAGAAAAAACATCTTTCTCCAGTTCATTCAAAAGCAGCCTCAGTCTGTAGCATTGCCAGGAACCAGCAAACCTCTGAGGTCATCAGCCAAGCTGTTGTGAAGCAGAGAGGCTTCAACGGGCTCACTTCTGCTCCACCTGAGGCATGGTGGTGACCAGAGGAGCCCTGCTGCCACCACCAAGCAGCATGGAGCAGGTCCCCTCCGGCAGCCAGCTCCT